GTCTCTTTCTCTCTCTCTCCCTTCCACCTTCTATCTTTCCTAGATGTGAGCTCCTTGACCTGGGCCTTCCCAGGCTCCAGAATTGTACAAAATAAATGTCTTTTAAAAAATAAAATAGGGAAGTCCCGGCGGCGGCGGGTCATGGCCGGCCCCATGCAGGGCGGCGGGGCCAAGGCCCTGGACCTGCTCCGGACCCTGCCGCGTGTAAGCCTGGCCAACTTGAAGCCGAGTCCCGGCTCCAGGAAACCGGAGAGACGACCAAGAGGTCGGAGAAGAGGTAGAAAATGTGGGAGAGGCCATAAAGGAGAAAGGCAGAGAGGAACCAGGCCTCGCCTGGGCTTTGAGGGAGGCCAGACTCCGTTTTACCTACGAATCCCGAAATATGGGTTTAACGAAGGACATAGCTTCAGACGCCAGTATCAGCCCTTTAGTCTCAACAGATTGCAGTATCTTATTGATTTGGGTCGCGTTGATCCTTCTCAACCTATTGACTTAACCCAACTCATCAATGGGAGAGGTGTGACGATCCAGCCACTTAAAAGGGATTATGGTGTCCAGCTGGTCGAGGAGGGTGCTGACACATTTAAGGCGAAAGTTAATATTGAAGTCCAGTTGGCTTCAGAACTAGCTATTGCTGCAATTGAAAAAAATGGTGGTGTTGTGACTACAGCCTTCTATGATCCAAGAAGTCTGGAAATTCTATGCAAACCTGTCCCATTTTTTCTTCGTGGACAACCTATTCCAAAAAGAATGCTTCCACCCGAAGAACTGGTACCGTATTACACTGATGCAAAGAATCGTGGTTATCTGGCAGATCCTGCGGAATTTCCTGAAGCAAGACTTGAACTTGCCAAGAAGTATGGTTACGTTTTACCTGACATCACTAAAGATGAACTCTTCAAAATGCTCTGTACTCGAAAGGATCCAAGGCAGATTTTCTTTGGTCTTGCTCCAGGATGGGTGGTGAATTTGATAGATAAGAAAATCCTGAAACCTACAGATGAGAATCTCCTCAAGTATTACAGCTCATGAGTTCCCCTCCAAGAAAGCAGAGTTGAGAAGGAGGGACAGAAAAGGAACCAGAAGATCTGTATTTCTCATTGCATTTTCCTCATGTGTAGTTCTCCAGAAGTTGATGTTAGTTTTCAGTGTAATCCTATCTTTTTCATTTTCATCTAAAATTCAAGTAAAATTACAGGAAGTAAGAAGTGCATAGAGAACTGAGTCTATGTAGGTTCTGTGTCAAAGATATAAATTCTCTGGTGGCCTGTGGAAGGAAA